CGGGGTGAGATCTTGCGTGGAGCCCCAGATCGAGGGAGATTATCAGTGGTCTTGTATGTCTTCCATTTTCTAATTATTGCTCCCACAGTTGATTTGTTCACACCAAGCTGCTTGCCTATTGCAGATTCAGTCTTCCCAGCCTGCTGCAGGTCTACAATTTTGTTTCTGGTGTCCTTCGACAGCTCTTTGGTCTTCACCATAGTGGAGTTTGGAGTGTGACTGTTTGAGGTTGTGGACAGGTGTCTTTTATACTGATAACAAGTTCAAACAGGTGCCATTGATACAGGTAATGAGTGCAGGACAGAGGAGCCTCTTAAAGAAGAAGGTCCAGGTCTGTGAGAGCCAGAAATCTTGATGTTTGTAGGTGACCAAATACTTATTTTCCACCATAATTTGTAAATCAATTCTTTCCAGATCAGCCAATGTGATTGTCTGGATTTGTTTTCACATTTTGTCTCTCATAGTTGAGGTCTCCCTATGATGCCAATTACAGGCCTCTCTCATCTTTGTAAGTGGGAGAACTTGTACCATTGGTGGGGACTAAATACTTTTTTGCCCCACTGTATATACTGCACATTGTAATGCGTTTTTATTACAGAACATGTGAAAAATATTTGTAAAAATATATTTCAAATATACTGTATGTCTTTAAAAATACAGATGTACATTTTTGGAATGCATTTTACAAATATATGTTAACATGACTTTTTTATATGTTAAAAAAAAATCTGAAGAATATATTTTAAAAATATATATTTTTTTAATTCATTCTTCAGATTTTTTTTAACATATAATTGTAAATGCATTTCAAAAATGTAGATTTGTATTTTTAAAGATGTACAGTATATTTGAAATGTATTTTTAAAACCAGTTTTCATATATTTTGTAATAAAATCACATTTCAACATACAGTGTGTATGTAGGTGTATATATATATATAATTTTTTTTTTTTAAAATATAATGAATACGGCCAAAATTGTAACATTGAAAATATGTCAATATATTTGGGAAGAATATTTTTTAAATATATTTCAAATATATTTTTCTTCCATGTGGGCTGTCACCTTCGGTGTCAGGAAACCGTGCCAGACGTGATTCATGCAGATAGCAGAGGAAGGAGGCAGCAGACAGAAATGGCACGCAGTGCTCTGGATTGAGACGAGTACACACTATGGAGGGATAGGCTTTGTTCGTATTTCATGTCTGAGGTTTACAACCACTTTAAATGTAAGTGTAGGTCCTTGAATTTGACCTGGTATCTCCTTCCTTCAGTCCCTGTACAGCAGAGCTCAGGCTGAGGAAGGGAGATGCAACGCAAGAAGCCAATCAATTTTTCTTGTGCTATCAAGGAGCATATTGATGGGAGTGGAGAGCAGAGTGACAGTTGAGCTCAGCAGTCTGCTGCTTCTCCTTTCACTGTCCAGTCACAGGTTTGTGAATGGACCGGTAAGTGTTACTGAACTGCAGCAGAGAAGAATCGGGTCTCCTGCTGCGCCAATCTGGATGGACAGAAACACGTATCCTTTAGAAGGTATAACAGTCCCCTATGTGTGTTGAACCATTTGAAGACAACAATACGTATATAAACGTTGCGGTTTTCAAGTGGTTTACCAGGGTTATCGATGAAGATATCCGCCATAACCACGGCACCTATTTTTCAGCCGACGGCCGACCTTCTGATGATAAAGCGGTCCGAGCGGCTCATTAGCAACTGGGTTGCTTTCAGTAGCGGTGAGAGGGAACCAGGGGCGGACTGACAACTCATGGGGCCCCCGGGCAATAGGGGATCATGGGGCCCCTGTGTCCTTGCCCAAACTCAAAAAAGCCTATGGAAGAGGTACCAGGGACATTTCATGGGGCCCCCAACCGACCCGGGGCCCTCGGGCAGTGCCCAAATTTCCAAATGGTCAGTCCGCCCCTGGAGGGAACGTCCCCCTCCCGCCGACCCCTGGTGTTTCTCGGGCTTACTGTTAAAACCGGCACGCCCAAGAAACGATTTGACTGCTTCTCCTAGAGGCGATGAGAGACTCTATGGTCTCTGATTGCCTCTATGGAGTTGGAGGACCGAAGCAACGTCATGACGTCACGTCCAGGCTGGATGTAAACAATTTTTTTTTCTTTTTTAGAGCAAAAGATCAAAAAACATTTTTTTCGATCTTTTGCTTTGAAAAGTGAAGGAGAGATTTGGAGTCTTTTTGACCCCATATCTCTCCTTAAAGAGGACCTGTCTTATTTCTATTACAAGGAATGTTTACGTTGCGGTCTGCTGCCCCTAATGGTGATGAGAGACTCTAAGGTCTCTGATCGCCTCTATGGAGTTGGAGGAGCGAAGTGACGTCATGACGTCACATCCGGTCCAGGCTGGATGTAAACAATTGTTTTTTTCTTTTTTAAAGCAAAAGATGAAAAAACATTTTTTTTTCATCTTTTGCTTTTAAAGGTAAAGGAGAGATTTTGAGTCTTTTTGACCCCAGATCTCTTCGTAAAGAGGACCTGTCTTATTTCTATTACAAGGAATGTTGACATTGCTTGTAATAGGAATAAAAGTGATCAAAAAAATAAAGGGATAGTGTAAAAATAAAAAAAAAAAACATTTTTTTTCTGTGATCGCATGCAGAAGTGAACACATACGCAAGTTGCACACGCATATGTAAACCGTGTTCGCAGCACACATGTATGGTATCGCCAAGAACGTTATAGTGAGAGCAATGATTCTAGTGCTGGACTTCCTCTGTCCCTGTAAACCGATAATCTGGAGATTTTTAAGTACCGTAGTTTGTCGCCATTCCACGAGCATGCGCAGTTTTAAAGCGGGACATGTAAGGTATCTATTTACTTGCCGTAACACCATCTTTCATATTTAAAAAAAAAATGGGGTATACAGGCGTACCTCGGTTTGTGAATTTAATTCGTTCTGCGGGACTTTTCGTATTGCGAAAAATTTGTAAACCGAAACGTGGTTTCCTATAGGAATGCATTGAAAACCAATTAATCCGTTCCGGAGGTCAGAAAAAAGTAAAAAAAAAATTTCTTATCTGTTCAAAATTTTTTCTAAAGTGCACTTTAAAGGCATAAATACTGTACAGGGACATGATTAAAAAAAAATTTGTAAATGCATTGAAAACCAATTAATCCGTTCGTATTGCAAAAAAAAATTTGTAAACCGAAGCTTTATTTTCAATGGATTTCCATTCGTAAACCGAAAATTATGTTAACCGAGGTGTTCGTAAACCGAGGTGCGCCTGTATATTGTGTTTATTTTTTGTTTTAATTGATTAAAGTGTATTTTTTTTTTTTTTTTTACAAATTGCGTTGAAAAACTGCTGTGCAAATACCATGTGACATAAAAAAATTGGAATATATTTGTGTATGTATGTATATATATTTTTTTTATATATATGTGTGTGTGTGTGTGTGTGTGTGTGTGTGTGTGTATATATATATATATATATATACCGTATATACTCGAGTATAAGCCGACCCGAATATAAGCCGAGGTACCTAATTTTACCACAAAAAACTGGGAAAAACTATTGACTCGAGTATAAGCCGAGGGTGGGAAATGAGGCACCCCATTATTGGTGTCAGTGGAATAGTGCCCCATCATTGGTGTCAGTGGGAGGAATAGTGCCCCATCTTTGGTGTCAGTGGGAGGAATAGTGTCCCAGCATTGGTGTCAGTGGGAGGAATAGTGTCCCATAATTGGTATCAGTGGGAGGAATAGTGCCCCATCTTTGGTGTCAGTGGGAGGAATAGTGTCCCAACATTGGTGTCAGTGGGAGGAATAGTGCCCCATCATTGGTGTCAGTGGGAGGAATAGTGCCCCATCATTGGTGTCAGTGGGAGGAATAGTGCCCCATCATTGGTATCAGTGGGATGAATAGTGCCCCATCATTGGTGTCAGTGGGAGGAATAGTGCCCTATCATTGGTGTCAGTGGGAGGAATAGTGCCCCATCATTGGTGTCAGTGGGAGGAATAGTGCCCCATCATTGGTATCAGTGGGAGGAATAGTGCCCCATCATTGGTATCAGTGGGATGAATAGTGCCCCATCATTGGTGTCAGTGGGAGGAATAGTGCCCCATCATTGGTATCAGTGGGAGGAATAGTGCCCCATCATTGGTATCAGTGGGATGAATAGTGCCCCATCATTGGTGTCAGTGGGAGGAATAGTATCCCATCATTGGTGTCAGTGGGGGGGTGGAGGAATAGTGCCCCATCGTTGGTGTCAGTGGGGGGGAGGAAAAGTGCCCCATCGTTGGTGTCAGTGGGGGGCAGGAATAGTATCCTATGATTGGTGTCAGTGGGGGGTGGAATAGTGCTCCATGATTGGTGTCAGTGGGGGGTGGAATAGTGCTCCATGATTGGTGTCAGTGGGGGGTGGAATAGTGCTCCATGATTGGTGTCAGTGGGGGGAGGAATAGTGCCCCATCATTGGTGTCAGTGGGGGGGGGGGGAGGAATAGTGCCCAATCGTTGGTGTCAGTGGGGGGGAGGAATAGTGTCCCATCATTGGTGTCACTGATACCAACAATGGGGCACTTTTGGTACAGGGGGCACTGACACTTGCTGACCCCTGTTCCAGTATGGTGCTGCTGCAGCCAGCATATGTGGTTGCAGCAGCACCTAAGCACGGCACACTTACCTGCATCTCCTTCACTCGATTTTCGCGGGGCCGCTCAGCTCCGCCTCCTCGCCGGTGATTGGCCGCCTGTGTGCCTTTCCTGAGCTACAGTTCTGGCGGCCAATCACCGGTGAGAAGGCGGAGCCGAGCAGCCGCACGAACATCCAGTGGACGAACTGAGTGGAGGCCAGTGGAGGGATTGGCAGAGAGGGGTGGAGGACACTGAGTGGAGGCCAGTGGAGGGATTGGCTGAGTAAGGAACATTCTTCCTACTGATCTCCAATGTAAGGGACATTCTTCCCACTGACCCCCAATGTAAGGGACATTCTTCCCACTGACCCCCAATGTAAGGGACATTCTTCCCACTGACCCCCAATGTAAGGGACATTCTTCCCACTGACCCCCAATGTAAGGGACATTCTTCCCACTGACCTCCAATGTAAGGGACATTCTTCCCACTGACACCAATGTAAGGGACATTCTACCCACTGATCACCAACGTAAGGGACATTCTTCCCACTGACCCCCAATGTAAGGAGCATTCTTTCCACTGATCCCCAATGAAAGGGACATTCTTCCCACTGATCACCAATGTAAGGGACATTCTTCCCACTGATCACCAATGTAAGGGACATTCTTCCCACTGACCCCCAATGTAAGGGACATTCTTCCCACTGACCTCCAATGTAAGGGACATTCTTCCCACTGACCTCCAATGTAAGGGGCATTCTTCCCACTGACCCCCAATGTAAGGGACATTCTTCCCACTGATCCCCAATGTAAGGGACATTCTTCCCACTGACCCCCAATGTAAGGGACATTCTTCCCACTGATCCCCAATGTAAGGGACATTCTTCCCACTGACCTCCAATGTAAGGGGCGTTCTTCCCACTGACCACCAATGTAAGGAGCATTCTTCCCACTGACCCCCCAATGTAAGGGACATTCTTCCCACTGACCCCCAATGTAAGGGACATTCTTCCCACTGACCCCCAATGTAAGGGACATTCTTCCCACTGACCCCCAATGTAAGGGACATTCTTCCCACTGACCACCACCAATGTAAGGGACATTCTTCCCACTGACCCCCAATGTAAGGAACATTCTTCCCACTGACCTCCAATGTAAAGGACAGTCTTCCCACTGATCACCAATGTAAGGGACATTCTTCCCACTGACCCCCAATGTAAGGAACATTCTTCCCACTGACCTCCAATGTAAAGGACATTCTTCCCACTGACCTCCAATGTAAGGAACATTCTTCCCACTGACACCAATGTAAGGAACATTCTTCCCACTGACCACCAATGTAAGGGACATTCTTCCCACTGACCACCAATGTAAGGAGCATTCTTCCCACTGACCCCCCATGTAAGGGACATTCTTCCCACTGACCACCAATGTAAGGGACATTCTTCCCACTGACCACCAATGTAAGGGACATTCTTCCCACTGACCCCCAATGTAAGGGACATTCTTCCCACTGACCCCCTATGTAAGGGGCATTCTTCCCACTGACCCCCAATGTAAGGGGCATTCTTCCCACTGACCCCCAATGTAAGGGACAGTCTTCCCACTGACCTCCAATGTAAGGGACATTCTTCCCACTGACCACCAATGTAAGGGACATTCTTCCCACTGACCCCCCAATGTAAGGTACATTCTTCCCACTGACCCCAATGTAAGGGACATTCTTCCCACTGACCCCCAATGTAAGGGACATTCTTCCCACTGACCACCAATGTAAGGGACATTCTTCCCACTGACCCCCAATGTAAGGGACATTCTTCCCACTGACCACCAATGTAAGGGACATTCTTCCCACTGACCCCCAATGTAAGGGACATTCTTCCCACTGACCCCCAATGTAAGGGACATTCTTCCCACTGACCTCCAATGTAAGGGACATTCTTCCCACTGACCACCACCATGTAAGGGACATTCTTCCCACTGACTCCCAATGTAAGGAACATTCTTCCCACTGACACCAATGTAAGGGACATTCTTCCCACTGATCCCCAATGTAAGGGGCATTCTTCCCACTGACCCCCAATGTAAGGGACATTCTTCCCACTGACCCCCAATGTAAGGGGGACATTCTTCCCACTGATCACCAATGTAAGGGACATTCTTCCCACTGACCACCAATGTAAGGGACATTCTTCCCACTGACCACCAATGTAAGGGACATTCTTCCCACTGACCACCGATGTAAGGAACATTCTTTCCACTGACCCCCAATGTAAGGGACAATTCCTAGTGACCCCCAATAGACTATTCAGGGTTCCTCTGGGGTAAGGACCCGGAACGTCTGTTCTAACACCTAACATTCCCTTAATCTGTAATTCCTTCAGTTCCTATAAACTCCCTGAATTCTAGAACATGATTGTCAGGATCCGCTCTCTGCAGTTCTTCTGGCTCCTAAAGGGTTAAACAAATTCTTTCTTCCTCAAAAACAAGATCTGCTGCTGCCCCACCAAAAGGCCTCATTTGAGCGTGCTCAGTGGAGCTGTTAAAGACACGTGTTCCATTAACGTTACGGCCGTGAAATATGGCTATAAAATGACGGCCGTATGGTGTCAGATTTGCAGCCCGCCGCGTTGCTAAGGGTTTAATCCTCGCTCCGGCGTGCGCAGAGCTGTAAAGTGTTTACTGAGAGAATTGTTGGAGGCTATAAAACCCGCTCCTTTCTCCCAAACAAGGCTGAGTGGAGCCATTTGCGAGGCCCACAACGCTCATCTGGGGAGACGGGAACAGCTGTTCCTGCCAGCAGTGTGCAACCGTCTTCCAGAGCAAATTAACTGAAATGGGTGCTTCCTAATTAAATTAGCACGCAAATGAAATGGTTTGCATTGGTGCGCTTGCTTACAATTACAACAGGCTGAATTTAGCTAAAATATGGGGCACGGCATTACCTGGGTGGGGGGGATTCGAATTGTCCAAACACTAGCAATCCAAAACAATGGGGGGTCACGGCACAGGAAGGGGGAGGCCATGTTCATACCTCTGCACTTATCTAAATCCAAGAACAAAAATGTGATACCCTCACTGGTCACTTTACTAGGTCCACCTTGCTAGTCCTGGGTTGGACCTCCTTTTTTGCCTTCATTCTCCGTGCCATAGATTCAACAAGGTGTTGGAAACGCTCCTCAGAGGTCCACATTGACATGATAGCATCACGCAGTTGCTGCAGATTGTTGGCTGCACATCTATGATTCGAATCTCCCGGTCCATAACATCTCAAAGGTGCTCTATTGGATGGAGATCTGGTGACTGTGGGGGCCATTGGAGTCCAGTGACCTCATTGTCATGTTCAAGGAACCAGTTGGAGATGATTTGAGCTTTGTGACAAGGTGCATTATCCTGCTGGGAGGAGCCATCAGAAGATGGGGCCATGGGAGTCATAAAGGGATGGACATGGTCAGCAACAATACTCAGGTAGGCCGTAGCTTTTAAAGGATGCTCAATTGGTACTAAGGGGCCCAAAGTGTGCCAAGAAAATCTCCCCCACACCATGACACCACCACCACCAGCCTGAACCGTTGATACAAGGCAGGATGGATCCACCACACCATGACACCACCAGCCTGCCTGAACCATTGCTACAAGGCACGATTGATCCACCACAACATGACACCGCCACCACCAGCCTGAACCATTGATACAAGGCAGGATGGATCCACCACATCATGACACCACCACCACCAGCCTGAACCATTGCTATAAGACAGGATGGATCCACCACATCATGACACCACCACCACCAGCCTGAACCATTGCTATAAGACAGGATGGATCCAACACATCATGACACCACCACCACCAGCCTGAACCATTGATACAAGGCAGGATGGATCCCCTACACCAAGACACCACCAGCCAGAACCATTGCTATAAGACAGGATGGATCCAACACATCATGACACCCACCAGCCTGAACCGTTGATACAAGGCAAGATTGATCCTCCACATCATGACACCACCACCACCAGCCTGAACCATTGATACAAGACAGGATGGATCCACCACACCATGACACCACCACCACCAGCCTGAACCATTGATACAAGACAGGATGGATCCACCACATCATGACACCACAGCCTGAACCATTGATACAAGACAGGATGAATCCAACACATCATGACACCACCAGCCTGAACCGTTGATACAAGGCAGGATGGATCCAACACATCATGACACCAACACCACCACCAGCCTGAACCGTTGATACAAGGCAGGATGGATCCACCACACCATGACACCACCACCACCAGCCTGAACCATTGATACAAGACAGGATGGATCCACCACATCATGACACCACCACCACCAGCCTGAACCATTGATACAAGACAGGATGGATCCAACACATCATGACACCACCAGCCTGAACTGTTGATACAAGGCAGGATGGATCCAACACATCATGACACCACCACCACCAGCCTGAACCGTTGATACAAGGCAGGATTGATCCTCCACATCATGACACCACCACCACCACCAGCCTGAACCATTGATACAAGACAGGATGGATCCACCACACCATGACACCACCACCAGCCTGAACCATTGATACAAGATAGGATGGATCCAACACATCATGACACCACCAGCCTGAACCGTTGATACAAGGCAGGATGGATCCAACACATCATGACACCAACACCACCACCAGCCTGAACCGTTGATACAAGGCAGGATGGATCCATGCTTTCATGCTGTTTACGCCAAATTCTAACCCTACCATCTGAATGTGGCAGCTGAAATCCAGACTCCTCAGACCAGGCAACATTTTTCTAACCTTCTGTTGTCCAATTTTGGTGAGCCTGTGCGAATTGTAGCCTTAGTTTCCTGTTCTTAGCTCACAGGATTGGCACCCGTTGTGGTCTTTTGCTGCTGTAGCCCACCTGCTTCAAGGTCCGAGGTGTTGTGTGTTCAGAGATGGTATTCTGCATACTTTGGTGGTAACGAGGGGTTATTGGAGTTACTGTTGCCTTTCTATCATTGCGGCTTCACAGCCGGTCTCCAACTGCGCATGTGTAAAGCGGAAATGGGTCACAGTCTTCTGGGACCTATGAAGTGTCCCAGAGGGCTGCTCAGTTCGCCATCAAAAACCAGATACCCGCTCCCCCCTCTCTCCTCCAAAAGGTGCCAAATGTGGCAGCAGAGGGTGGGGGGAGGCAGATAAGCAGCGCTTCGACTTTTGGGTGGAACTTCACTTTAAGTGAAAAAAAAAAGTTTAAAAACTTTTAAGTTACACCCAAGTTTTTTAACCCCACCCTTTAAAAAAAATGTTTTTGCACCCCACCACTTACCCACATATATGCACATAAATATCTGGAACGCCTGCACATGAAAACTCCAATTGTGCCACACGTTACATATCGCTGCATGTGCCGGAGTGAAAGCAGTGATTCCATGGCCAGTTATTGGTGGTGAACTCTGAGCCGATGCCCTGGAGGGGCTTTTATATTGTTGCCTATAGAACATTTAGGGTGCCAAATTTTATCGCAGTTTCACAGGCACACACAATTTTAATGTTTGACATGTTTGGTATCTGTTTACTCTGTGCCACCTCATCTTTTACAGTGGGTATAGAAAAGAGTCACCCCCTCCCCCCCCCCCCCCCTCCTTTGAAATAATCCCTGTTTGTTGCTTTGAAATGAAGACAGACACAGTTTTTGTTTTATCTAGCTGTATTTACTCAGTGTGAATTTTAACATCCAAGAGAGAGAACACCAACATTTCAGATAAAAAAAAAATAGAAAAACAGAATCACTGAGTTGGAAAAAGGTCCCCCCCCCCCCCCCCCCCTTTAGTCAGTTGGGATTTGTATTTACTAACTTTGCCCATCAAGACTGCAATATTTGCCCGCTCTTCTCTGCACAACGGCTCAGATTCAGTGACGTGATGGTGACGGTGTGTGGGCGGCAGTGCAAGTCATTCCACAGATTTTCAATGGGGTTGAAGTCTGGGCTCTGACTAGGCCATGCAGGGACATTCCCCTTCTCCTCCAACCACTGGGGGGTGCTGTGTGATTTGGCTCATTGTCATGTTGGAAGGTGAACCTTCTTCCCATTCAAAACTTTCTGGCTGAGGGCGGCAGATTTTCCTCCAGAATGTGACGGGATTTTGCCCCATCCATCTTTCCTTGTATCCCGACAAATGCTCTAGACCCTGCTGCAGAACCCCCCCCCCCCCCCCCCCCCCCCCATAACAGGATATTACCCTCCCATAACAGGATATTACCCTCCCCCCCCCATAATAGGATATTACCACTCCCCCCCCCCCCCCATAACAGGATATTACCACCCCCCCCCCCCATAACAGGATATTACCACTCCCCCCCCATAACAGGATATTACCAATCCCCCCATAACAGTATATTACCCCCCCCCCCCCCCCATAACAGGATATTATCACTCCCCCCCCATAACAGGATATTACCAATCCCCCCCCATAACAGTATATTACCACTCCCCCCCCCCCCACCCCCCATAACAGGATATTACACTCCCCCCCCCACAACAGGATATTACCACTCCTCCCCCCCCCCCCCCCCATAACAGGATATTACCACTCCCCCCCCATAACAGGATATTACCACTCCCCCCCCCCCCCCCCCATAACAGGGTATTACCACTCCTCCCCCCATAACAGGATATTACCACTCCCCCCCCCCCCCCCCCCCATAACAGGATATTACCACTCCTCCCCCCATAACCCACCCCCCCCCCCCCCCCCCCCATAACAGGATATTACCACTCCTCCCCCCCCCCATAACAGGATATTACCACTCCTCCCCCCATAACAGGATATCACCACTCCCCCCCCCCCCCCCCCCCCCATAACAGGATATTACCATTCCTCCCCCATAACAGGATATTCCCACTCCCCCCCCCCCCCCCCCCCCCCCTAACAGGATATTACCACTCCCCCCATAACAGGGTATCCCCCTCCATGCTTCTTTGCGGCAGGAATGGTGGTATTTAGATGGTAAGCTGGATTGGATTTCCACCAGATATATCGTTTAATGTCTGGGCTCTGACTAGGCCATGCGGGGACATTCCCCTTCACCTCCAACCACTTGGGGGGGTGCTGTGTGATTTGGCTCAATATCATGTTGGAAGGTGAACCTTCTTCCCATTCAAAACTTTCTGGCTGAGGGCGGCAGATTTTCCTCCAGAATGTGACGGGATTTTGCCCCATCCATCTTTCCTTGTATCCCGACAAGTGCTCTAGACCCTGCTGCAGAGATCCCCCCCCCTCCCCCCCATAACAGGATATTGCCCCCCCCCCCAAAAAAAAAAAAACAAGATACAACCACTCCCCCCCCATAACTGGATATTACCTCTCCCCCCCCATAACAGGATATTACCACCCCCCATAACAGG